TGTGTCGGGTGACCTATCTGCCCCTTAGCGTCCTGTTGCCCTTCCTGCTGAGCTCACTTTGGTGGAGCGGGAGGCTCACCGCGTGGCCCAGCTTGTGTACCCGATCTGGGGAGTCACGTGATGCGGCTGCGCGCCTGTTCTTAGTTGCCTCCTACCGTCGACCGAGCGAGTGCACTTTTACCATGTTGAGACGCCGAAGGGGTAACTGATTCTCATTGTTTCTCGCTACTCCAACTTCTGCTCTGCTACCCTGGGGATCCTCCTCTTGCCTTTCCTCCTCCCTGATCTCCCTGCTTTCCCCACTGTCCATGACCCCACTCCTCAGATGCGCTCGCTTACTGTAACACTAAGTTCCGCTGCTTGCACTGCTGACCACCTTGCTAAGCACGCCCCCCCATATATCCCATCCCGCACTTCCTAGCGACCCACTTCCCTGATCGCCTCATACATGTCCACGATCCCTCCTCGTTATGCACCCCATGAGCCTCACAATAGATCTCTTTAAGACTCGTCTCACTGAGATCGAGACCCGCCTTCTCACCATCGACCATTGGTGCGGTAGTCCCCCCATCTTTGTGAGGTAAGCTCTTCCCTAGTTACCTACCCCAGCTGCCTCTACTACTGTTGCTGAGCCTAATGCTACAGCGGGGGTCGTAGCTGCCTCTGCCCCCTCTGGTGGGTGGGGATGGCGCAGGGGTGGTCGTAGTCATGGGTAGTGTTGGTATGCCAAGGGGGTGCACATACGTTTGAGGGTACTAGCTCTTCTTCTGGTGGGCCAGGTGGTGCTAGTGCTGACGCGGGTCGACTCTGCAGCAGCGACAGAGCAGTAGTAGCAGCAGACGCAACAGTAGCAACAGCTTTAGTAGTGGGTCTCTAGCTGCACTAGGGACCTGCTGGCCCAGAAAGTGTTGAACGCATCCGACGTCGAGGACGTCGGCAGATGTAGGTGAGCTAAAAGGGTGCTTCAAAATACGCTTCAAAATACGCCTTAAACATCTGCTGGCACCAGCATACACCACTTGAACAAAGACGTACATATTTCGACAGGCAGGCAAAGATTGAGTGCATCACAATAATGATGACGAGATGATACTCGACAAATAACATGTTGCGAGGCTTGCCGTGCGAAAATCGCGAGCGGATAGTTTCACTATATATGAGTTCGCTAAATGATTTGACGCGTAGGAAGCGCAGACAAAATTATTGCCCTGGGACTCAACTCAATTGCTCAAAATTATAGGTTGGCATTGTCGCGCGTAAAACAATTTTATGCGCCAACACTTTTTTGGGCACTTTCGTCGTCGGCAAGCCACTTGAATAAAGACGTACAAATTCCGAGGGGCAGGCAAACTGAAGGTTTTAAGATAAACTTATCCGTTTTTTTGGAACGTAAAACGGATCAAGACACGCAGTTATCCTTCATGATGAACTGCCGTGAAGACCTTAAAACAACACAACCATTCTGTTGGTGGAAAGCATGAGGCTGAAGAAAAAGTGTTGCTTGGTCTCGTGTGTAAATTTCTGGTTTTGACGGTCGTTCAATGACAGCAAAAGCAGATAGTCTAAAGACGTTACGCTGAATTATTTTATTGTATTTGCGTTTCCAGCCTTGGATTGCAGCTGTCTTAACTTGCACATGCCATCTTGGATGTCTTGAGGCTTGTATGCAGTTATTAACATGAAAAACGAATTTCGGCAAGAGTAGTGACGATAATCAAATGTTCGCTCTGTAAATACAAGTATGAAGTTGTAACTAATACTAGTAAGCCAAACATGATGGTCCTGAAGTTAATGATGGAGCCATTGCGGAGAGCATTTGAAAGCGTATTTTCAGACTACGTGTTGGTGTCATCGTCCACACGCCCGGTGATTTGCCCATCCCTCCGCGTCCCACCCCGCTCCTTACCGAGCCGAGTGAGGCGGAACGGGAGACATTTGCTAGGTGACGATTGGAATACTCGGCCAGGCCCGCGATGCAGCTACTCGACTCGCTCACTATGATCGTCTCCAGCTGACCGAGGCCGTCCACCTTCGGCTAAGTCACTTATGCAAAAGATCGTTTTGACGCTATCATTTCTCGTTTTATCACTCCTTCCTCTACCTTCCTGGCCCGCCTCCTCATGCTGTTCGTTTTCCCAGACCTTGCTGCGTTTCACACTACCACCATTTGGGTTGTCAGCAGAATCACGACGGCAAATAAAGCTCCGAATTCATCGGAGCCCCCGCAGCCGCTTCTCTCTGCGATCAGCCGTTCGCTTTCGGGGATGGTCGAGCCATGCACAGCCACGGAAACCAGAGTGTCAGCGGGCCAAACAGGTGCATTTTCCGCTGGACCCAGTGGCGCCTCACTCACCGCAGCCGCAAAGCCCTCCTCTTGCCCCGTTGGACCCGCAAGAAGTTGGGGAATCGCGGTGGAGCTTCGTCGTCGTCAACGTATTTCTGTAGTGAGTGTTGTGCTAAGGAGCGTTGGTCTCGCAGTGCTAGTAGAGATCGTTTGTATAGCAAGTCGCCCTGTGCCGCCACCGTTAATGGTTATACGCCACGGCGTGATTGCGGCACAACTAGGCAGCCAAAGTCAACTTTGAGTCGCCTCAAGGACAGTAGCATTGGAAGTAATCCTGCAACTAGGCAGTCGAAAACGGTTGTGTTATGCTCGCTGCCCCTCCCTGCCTCTTCTTGTCCCTTTATGCCGTTTCCCGTTCCTCCCTGTCGTTCGATACCCCCCTCCAACTACCATCCCCCATCCTCCATCCTCCATCCTCCATCCCCTGTCCTCTATCCCCCATCCCCCATCCTCCATCCCCCATCCCATATCTGCCTTCCCCCATCCGCCTTCCCCCATCCCCCATCCGCCTTCCTCCATCCCCCATTCGCCTTCCCTCATCCCCCATCCCCCATCCGCCTTCCCCCACCCCCCTTCCCAATCCCCCCATTCTCTTGCAGTGACAGTCGGGTGCAGTGCAACAAGGTGCAGGTGGGGCAGTGGAGGCAAGGCGAAGATCACCCTTTCCACACCCCCCATACCTCCAACTCCCCTCTCCCTCTCCCATGACCCTCCTTAATTTTTCCTCCCTGCTCCCCCATTCCCGTTTTCCACTCTTTTCTCCTCTCCCAGTGACGGTCATCATGCCAGGCGCCGGCCCTCATGCAACCCTCATGCAACGAGCTACAATGCAAGCCTTATTCCCCCTCCCTGCTCCCTGCTCTACCAGCGACGACCGTGCCAGGCGCCGGCCTTCATGCAACGAGCTGCAGTGCAGCAAGGTGCAGGTGGTGCCGTGGAGGGGAGGCGAGGGGCGCATGGCAATGGAAAAGGGCGAAAGGGATAGGAGGGCCCAAGGGGGTGATGGAGGGGAGGGGAGTTTGGGAAGCACGATTGCTGCAGCGGGTGGCTGTGCGTGAGCTTCATGGGAATGCACACTCACTTTTTGCTGCTCTCCCCTTGTCCTCTTCCCTTAAATTTGATTCACTCAGTCTACTCTGCTCGGTACTCTTTTTGAAGCAGCAACCCTTTCCATCCTTTGCATTGCCCCTGCGTGATAATAAGTTGGTTTTGAGACGTCTCAAAACGAACTTGTTCTCACGTGCCTTTCAGTTGCCCCCATTACTTCTGGACAGACTGCACGTGGTGAAGGCTAAAAGGGGTGGGGAGTTTGCACATGGATGTTGATTGCTTTTTGTTTTTTTTTTTAACGTCTCAAATTAAAGCCCTATTCGTGTTCATGATTCCTATTGAAGCACAAATGTTGAAATGTTTGTATTCGTGTGTTTCTATGATGCAGCAGCAGGGCGGTGGTGGCAGCGGTGATGGTGGCGGCGGTGGCGGTGGTGGTGCTGGTGGTTCTGGTGGGGCTCATGGAGGGAAGAAGAAGAGGCGGGGGCGAAGGAGGGGAGAGGGACAGGCAACGGCAGAGTGCGCTACAGATGCAGGGGCAGAGGGTGGTGCAGCAGAGGGCGTGGCAGGGGTAGAGGGTGGTGCAGAGGGAAAGTCTTGGGTTGCTGCCGTTGCAGAAGTAGAGGAAATAGGGGAGGAGAAGATTGGGGGGGAGCAGATAGCGAGAGAGCAGGCGATAGAAGCGCAGACAGAGGGGGTGTCATTTGTGGTGGCGGAGGAGGGAGCATGGTAGGCGGTGTGGGAGCCGCTCTCCCATGGCGTATACTTCCGCAATGCTGCCGCCACCTGTTTGAAGAGAGAGAATTGATACATTACACAATGAGCCAAGAGGCCCCTTAGTACAAACAATGAGCAAGGGAGAGATGAGAGGGAAGCTTACCCTATTGGCCAATAAGTTGGCCAATGGGTGAGCTTGCTTGTGGCCCAAGCAACCACAAATGTGTGTTGGTTGGGATTGGTTGAGCTAAGGACCAATCCCAACCAACCACAAAATGTGGTTGGAGGGTACACTAAGCAACCCCCCAATTTATAAATGTGCTACACTTCTAGCCTATGTATGTTGTATAAAATATGAAATTACAACACAACCCCCCAACATGCATAAGGCTAGAAGGCCAGAATCAAGAGGCGGGCGGCGACTTTGGAGGAGTGAGGCTAAGGAGACGAAGGAGTGAAGAGTGAGTCGCATGAGGAAGAGCTTTTGTGAAAATGTCAGCAAGGTTGGCCGCCGAGTCAATTTTGTCAAGCCGAAGGTGCCCCGCCTGAACAAGATCGCGAATGAAGAAATGACGGAGCTCAATGTGCTTGGAGCGCCCGTGAAACACAGCATCTTTAGTGAGGTGAATGGTACTGGCATTGTCACACCAGATGGTGGGACAGAGCGGGGGGGCACCAAGTTCCTCAAGAAGGAAGGTGAGCCAGCGGGCCTCTTGCGCAGCCATGGTGGCGGCATACAACTCCACCTCGCATGAGGAGAGGGTGATGGCCGAGGAGCGAGTGGAGCGCCAGCTGATAAGGCCGCTGCCAAGAGAGAATCCATAGCCCTGGGAGGAGCGACGATCCGGCCGGAAATCAGCCCAGGAGGAGTCACTATAGCCGCTGAGGAGAGGTGGGGAGGGGCCGCCAAGGGTAAGGACATAGTCCTTGGTGCCACGAAGGTACCAGAGGACACGCTTGGCGGCCTCCCAGTGCTCTTCCGTATGCTTGCCTGCGCCAACAAAACGGGCAAGGATGCTGATGGGGTAGGCAAGGTCAGGGCGAGTGGAGACCATGGCGTACATGAGGGAGCCGATGAGCTCTAGATAAGGATGAGAGGAGGTTGAGGGGGAGGTGGGTGGAGAGAGATGGTGCCCGACAGAAAGAGGAGTATGTTGTGTCAGAATCTCAACCACTAGACCATTGGGATAAAAGGGCTTGTTTCAGTAGCGGGTCAGTGCGCCCATAACCCCCCAGGCGAACGCGCCTGTAACCCTCTCCAGGATCAATCGGGCATCCACAGTGCAGATCTACTGACACCCCCCCACACTGGGAGGCCCAGGACTAAGCACATCGGCAACGGCCTACATGTGCATACACCGGGAATCGAGCCCGAGACCGCTCTGATACCATGTCAGAATCCCAACCACTAGACCATTGGGATAAAAGGGCTTGTTTCAGTAGCGGGTCAGTGCGCCCATAACCCCCCAGGCGAACGCGCCTGTAACCCTCTCCAGGATCAATCGGGCATCCACAGTGCAGATCTACTGACATGTTGGGCACTGCCCCGGGCCATGTCAAACCGCTCCGAGACCTGCTGCAAGTAATGACCCTAGGAGAGAGAGATGGTGCGGGCGGAGCGGTCGCGGGTGATGGTCATGCCCAGGTAATGCTGCAGCTCTCCCAAGTCCTTGCACTTGAGTCAGCTACCCAACTCAGCCTTAACACGCTCCAACTCAGCAAGGTCGGCGGTGAGCAGAATCATGTCATCGACATACACAAGGATGTAGAAGGGGAGGGGGAGGTGCGGAGGAAGAGGCTGGCGTCGGAGCGGGAGGTGCGAAACCCAAGTTCAGCAAGGGTGGCGGCAAGCTTAGCATGCCACTCCCTAGGGGCCTGTCGGAGCCCATACACAGGTCGACGCAACTGCCAGACAGAGTCTGCTGGGAAGGGAAGGTGAAAGTCGGCTGGACGCTCCATGTAGATAAGCTCGCGGAGGACGCCTTGCAGAAAGGCGTTAGAAACGTCCATTGAGTGGATCTCCAAATTGAGGCGAGCGGCGAGGTCGAGCACGGCGCGAACGGTAGCAGGTTTGGCGGTAGGTGAGAAGGTATCGAAAAAGTCCACAGCATACCGCTGTGTGAGCCCTTGGCACAGTAACGAGCCTTGTAGACGGGCGGCTCTCCTGGCAGCTGCTTGACGCGAAACACCCACTTCCCCTTCACCACGTTCGTAGAGGCAGGAGGGCGAGGCACATCAATGACGGAGGAGTTGGCAATAAAGGCCTCCAACTCCTTGATGGCGGCAAGCCAGAGAGGGGCGTCGGGGCAAGCCATTGCCTCCTCATACGTGGTAGGGATGAAAGTGGAGGGAGCAGAGGAGAAGGCGAAGACGGGTGTGCCGGAGAGGTCGGATGTGATGGGTAGAAGCGAGGGGTTACAGAGGTGGAGGTCAAGGAACTTCTCATGGGAGTCTTCAGAGAGGGAGGTGTGGAAGGCGGGGATGGCTGTTGATGCTGCTGCTGGTGCCGCTGCTGGTGCTACTGTTGGTGCCGTTGCTGGTGCCGCTGCTGGTGCCGCTGCTGGTGCCGATGCTGATCCTGCTGCTGGTGCCCGCTGCTGGTCCTGCTGCTGGTGCCGCTGCTGGTCCTGCTGCTGGTGCCGCTGCTGGTCGTGCTGCTGGTGCCGCTACTGGTCCTGCTGCTGGTGCCGCTGCTGGTCCTGTTGCTGGTGCCGTTGCTGGTGTTGCTGCTGGTGCCGCTGCTAGTGCCGTTGCGGACGCTGCTGCTAGCGCCGCTGCTGGTGAGGGAGAGGTGGTAGAGGGGGCTGCTGCAGGAGGAGGTTGATGCAAGACAGCCTGGAAGAAGTGGTGAAGGAGAGGGGAGAGAGGGGGAAGGGTAGAGGTAGAGAGGGTAACAGGGGGCGGTGCGCCAAGGATACCGTCACATGACCTAGTGTGGGGGTACCGGGTAAGTACGATGCGCGGAGGAGGGGAAGGACGGGTCGGTGGCGAGGAAGGGGAGGGGAGGGGGGAAGGGGCACTGGGAGAGGAATGTGTGGGGGAGATAGGAGAGGACAGAGGTTCCGGGTCAAAGATATCACCAGACGAGGGAGGGGCACCGTGGGACTGGGATGACGGAGGGGGCGGAGGCGGGAGGATGGGGGGAGGAGGGAGTAATGGGGGAGGGGTGGTGTCAGACCAGACAAGGGGACGGGTGAGAGGGGGGAGTGGGTCAGTGGATGGGGGAGAGGTGTAGTAGGGAGTGGACTCATCAAAAACCACATCCCTACTGCGGACTAGACGACCTGAGGGGGGGATGGAGGAAAAGGTAGTCAGGTGAGGTGGGGCTATGACCAAGGAAGATGAAGGGAAGGGTACGAGGGGCGAGCTTTCCCATGGAACGGGAGCGGTCAGAGGGGTGAATAAGGACATATGCCTTTGAGCCCCAGACACGAAGAGATGAGACATCAGGCTTGTCCTTTGTCAACAGCTCAGTGGGAGTGGTGGAGGGGAGAAGGGGGTGAGGGAAAAGGTTAGTAAGGAGGGCGGCATGAAGGAGGGCGTAGCCCCACAGAGAAGGGGGGCAGGAGGCGTGGACAAGAAGACACCGGGCTGTTTTGGTGATCTCCCGAACACGACTCTCAGCCACGCCATTCTGCTGTGGGGAGTGAGGGAGGGTGTAAGTTTGAAGAATGCCACGAGACTGACAATAGGAGGAGACTTGATTGTTAATGAACTCACCACCACCATCAGAGTGAAGGCGGCGAACAGGGCGCCCAAAATGGGTGTTTGCCCGCTCGAGCCAGGCGATGATCGCAGCTGGGGCGTCCGCCTTTGTTCGAAGGAGAGAGACGGACGAGTACCGACTGTGATCATCGACGAGCACGAGAAGGTAGCGATGGCCCTGGCGAGTGGGAGAGGGATTAGGGCCCCAAAGGTCCATGTGAACAAGATCAAGTGGCTGGGCAGCAACGGAGGGGGAGCTCCGATGTGGCTGCTGCTTGAGCTTGCTTTGAACGCAGACGGTATAGGGGGGGGCAATAGATTTGGGGAGGGAGGGAGGGAGGAGGGGAGGCCATGGAGGAGACCGGAGGAGACAGAGGAGCGCAGAGTAGCGAAGTTAGGGTGACCTAGCCTGTGATGGAGGAGGATGGTAGGGTGGGAGAGGGAGCGACAGGAACAGTCAGAGTCAGGGGGGCGGGGGGGAAGGGGTGGGTTAGTGGGAGGGAGGGGAGGGGGGGGGAGGAGAGAGGGAGAAGCAACTTGGCAGGGGGGGGGGGGGGGAACCCGAAGGGTGCATAGACGGGAACGAGGACAGAAGGAATACGGGAGAGAAGGCGACCTGTAGCAGTATGGTAAAGGGCACAGTGGTTAGTGTTAGTGCTAGCCTTCAATCTCACACTTTGTACATTGTATTTTCTATATCCTAGAGTAGTGTAGTTTGCACATTGTGTTTGGTTGGGTGTACACCTACATCCCAACCAAACCCAAATGTAATCTCCAAGCAATCTCCAACCCACCAATTGGAGATTGCCTTGGGATTACCCCCAATCCCTAGGGATTGCCTCTGATTCCCTTCCCCAACTATTCCTTACCCTTCTTGGATGTACTTAAAGAGCTTCAAAATCATTACTAATGCATCACTTCTAAGCCTAAATTGTGACATGGTATCAGAACCCTACATCCGCACATGCGGATCGTGATCCTCCTATCTATGCGGATGTTCTTCCCGCAAACCTCGGCATAGCCTCCTTCAATCTCGTCGAAGTCGATTCGCGACATTCGTGGGCGGAAATTCCCCCGCACCACTTTCCCGTCAACTTCGACGACGTCTTCAATTTCTATGGTACGCTCATCGACGTCGATCTAACTTATCGTTCCTTTTTTCGTCATCTCTCAATTTCGTCACCGCGTCACCTCTTCTCATCGGGCCGCCGCCCGTTGCCCCGCAACTTCTCGTCGGGCCGCCGCCCGTCGCCCCGCAGCTTCTCGTCAAGACCAAGCTGAGTACAGAAGCGCTGATGATCACAAGGCGCAAGTGCCTTAGTGAAGATATCAGCAGTGTTGGCCTCAGAGGCCACATACGCAAGTCGCAACTGACCACGCTGCTGCAGCTCACGAGCAAGAAAGTAGCGGAGAGCAATGTGCTTCGTTCTGTGCTCCAGGCGCTGCTCCCGACACAAGGCCAGCATGGCCTTGTTGTCTACGTACAGCACTGGAGGAGAACGAGGCGGCTCTCCGAGGTCAGTCAGTAGGTAGGTGAGCCAGCGAAGCTCCTGAGCAGCCATGGCACCTGCGTAGATCTCAGCCTCACAACTGGAGCCGAGAACGGAAGACGAGCGAGTAGCCCTCCACGAAACAGAGCCAGAACCAAGGCTGAAGGTGTAACCCTGTGACGACCGCTGTGTAGCCTGGTCGTCAGCCCAAGAAGCGTCTGCGTGCCCAGTGAGGACCACTGGACTCTGCCCTCCAAGCACTAGCCCCATGCCCGACGTACTGCACAAGTAGCGCAACACCCTCTTCGCTGCAGCCATGTGCTTGTGGAAATAAATGACCAAGAATGAAATGACTAAGCCAGTGTTGGGTACAAATACAACCCTAGAAAGCTGTACCCCATATGTGCTACCCCACTATAGCCTACAAACATGCATCAGCTATAATAATCTGACACACCCCCATAGGCAAAGTGGGGGAGAACAAGGGGTCACAAGACCAGTCAAGCAAAGCAAAGCAAAGCAAGCTCAGGGTGGATCAGAAAGTCACCACACAGTCCGAGCACAAGAGCAGGGCCAGAGGCCAGTTCACATGCGGGAGTACAGACATATATATAAAACTAGACAAGCAGGAGCAGGTATATATATGTCACAGTACAAGTAAAGTCAAGAAGAGAGCAAGTGAGGCAAGACAGGCACAAGACCCAGCTGGGTGCAGAAGCGCTGATGGTCACAAGGCGCGAGTGCCTTGGTGAACACATCAGCAGTGTTGGCCTCAGAGGCCACGTACGCAAGTCGCAACTGACCACGCTGCTGCAGCTAACGAGTAAGGAAGTTACGGAGAGCAATGTGCTTCGTTCTGTGCTCCAAGCGCTGCTCTCGACACAAGGCCAGCATGGCCTTGTTGTCTACGTACAGCACTGGAGGAGAACGAGGCGGCTCTCCAAGGTCAGTCAGAAGGTAGGTGAGCCAGCGAAGCTCCTGTGCAGCCATGGCCCCGGCGTAGATCTCAGCCTCAAAACTGGAGCTGAGAACCGAAGACGAACGAGTAGACCGCCATGAGACAGAGCCGGAACCAAGACTGAAGGTGTAACCCTGTGACGACCGCTGCGTAGCCTGGTCGTCAGCCCAAGAAGCGTCCGCGTGGCCTGTAAGGACCACTGGACTCCGCCCTCCAAGCACTAGCCCCATGCCCGAAGTACTGCACAGGTAGCGCAATACCCTCTTCGCTGCAGCCATGTGCTCTGGTCGGTGTCTCCCAGGAGCAACATAGCGTGCAAGAATGCTCAGAGGGTATGCAAGGTCAGGTCGAGTGCAGGTCATCAGGTACATGAGGCAGCCAACAAGCTCTGGGTACGGGCCACTCGACTCTACGGACTCATCCGAAGGCAGAGCTGAGAGTGAGTGGCGAGTAGACAGAGGAGTGGCCTGAGGCGAGGAGTACGTGAAGCCGAAGCGCTGAAGGACCTGCTGCACCATGTGTGACTGAGTCAAGGTGATGGTGCGGCGTGCTCTGTCCCGAGTGATCTGCAAGCCAAGGTAGCTGCGCAGTTCACCCAGGTCTGTGCACGTGTGTCTCTTCAGTAGCTCGGACTTCACGTAGGCGAGTCCAGCAGTGTCCGCTGTGGCAAAGACCAAGTCGTCGACGTACACGAGGATGTAGAACGGCGGCAGTGAAGTGTCAGTGCGCAGAAACAGCGACGGGTCAGCAGTAGACGGAGAAAACCCAAGAGCCGCAAGCGTAGTCCTCAGTGTGTCGTGCCACTCACGCGGTGCCTGGCGGAGACCGTAGACTGGCCGTCGGAGGCTCCACTGGGTGCCAGGAGGGAAAGTCCCAGTGAAGCCAGGTGGACGGCGCAGCCAGATCTCCTCGTGCAGGCTACCCTGCAGGAACGCAGTGCTGAAGTCGAGAGAGTGAAGCTCGTAGTCGCGCTGAGCGGCTATGTGCAGCAGCACCCGAAGAGTGGTCATCTTCGGGGTGGGAGAGAAGGTCTGAAAGTAGTCAACTCCCTGCCGCTGACTGAAGCCACGAGCAACGTACCGCGCCTTGAAGACAGGTGGAGAGCCCGGCGGTCGCTTCATCCGGAAGATCCACATGCCACTGACGATGTTCGCCCCAGGAGGGGGAACTGCGTCAACGTAGGTGCCTGTGGACTTCCAGGAAGCCATCTCTGCATCCATAGCTGCGTGCCACTGAGAGGAGTAGGGACCCTCTACGGCCTCCGCGTAAAAGCGCGGAGTCGGGATGTCTAGTGCATCCGGGTCTCCCTCAGGAGCAAGCAGTACAGACGCGAGATGAGGTGAAGCAGCAGCCAGACACTGTAACTCCTCCTGCCTGTCCTCTAGGACGTCCGTGCCAAAAGCACACTCACCCCCGACGGACGGAGGACAGACAGACGCAGACTCAGCAACAAGACTAGCAGCGTAGTCTAGACGACAGCGAGCAGCAAAGTCGACGAGCTCAGCGACAAGAGCAGACGCAGCAGTGGACTCAAACGAGGGGTCAGTGACGACAGTAGCAAGCAGACGCGTGACAGTAGGACTGGCAGCACGAAGAGAGTCCGACTCAGGGTCGGCAAGCGCAGGAAGAGAGGACTCAGGAGGAGAAGGCAAAGGGGCACGCAGAGGAGCAGTGGACGGACGCAGAGACATCCGGTGCGTGCTAGGGACAGGAGGAGGACGCTGACGCGAACCGCGACCACTAGCGCGAGCAGAACGAACAGGCGACGCGGGACGAGACGCAGGCTCACGACGCTCAGTAAGACCTCCAGTAGGACCAGTGTAAGGAGAGGGAGCAGGCAGAGGAGAGGAAGGCTCCTACAGTGACTGCGACTTGACAGGCTGCAGACACTCTACCGGAGGAGAAAGACCAAGAACCTGCTGCAGGAGCGGAACGAAGTACGGCCGAGGCCGCGCGGCAGCTCCAGACTCAGCAGGGACAGCACCAGCACCCTCAGCGACAGTACCAGCGCCACCAACACCTCCTGCGGCAGGACCTCCAGCAGTACCAGCAGCAGAACCACCGCGAGGACAGACAGCAGTGGTCTCAGCACCAACACCCTCAGCAGCTCCAGCTCCAGGAGGACCCGCAGGCCCAGCAGCTCCGGGACCGGCAGCACCAGCACCCTCGACGGTCGAAGAAGCTCCAGCTCCAGCAGCACGCCTCCAGCGGCGAGCAAACTACTCGCGCAGCTCCTGTGGAGAGAGGGGCTCCCGTCGAGACGCAGCAGTAGGAGAAACCCCAGGCTCAGCACCCTTAGGCTCAGCAGCTCCCAACTCAGCACCCCCAGGCTCAGCAGCTCCAGGCACAGCACCCCCCGGCTCAGCACCCTCCGCAGTAGTACCCCCAGGCTCAGCACCCCCAGGCTCAGCAGCTCCCAACTCAGCACCCCCAGGCTCAGCAGCTCCAGGCACAGCACCCCCCGGCTCAGCACCCTCCGCAGTAGTACCCCCAGGCCCAGTACCCCCAGGCTCAGCACCCCCAGAGTCAGCACCCCCAGGCTCAGCACCCACAGCAGCACCAGAGTCACCAGTAACCTCGACCGGGTCAACTGCGTCTACCTGGGACACACCTGAGGGGGCAGGAACCTGAGGGGGGAGGGGGTCTACCGGGGGGGGAACCGGCACAAGGAAGTCCAGCGGAGGGGGGAGGGAAGGAGTGCGGTAGGGGAAGAGGCGGTAGAAGGGGACTGACTCGTCGAACGTGACGTCCTGGGAGGACAGAACACGACGAGAGGAGGGGTGGTAAAACTGCCACCCGGGAGCGTCTGTGGGGAAGCCAAGGAAGACACAGGGAGCAGCACGAGGGGACAGCTTGTCCGCAGACAAGTCGCGGACAAACGCCCGAGTTCCCCAGACACGGAACGCCGACGCATCGCCAACCTTCCCCGTCCACAGCAAGACTCGGGACATCGCGGGCCGAGAGACCCGGGGGTGAAGGTTGAGCTGATGCGCCGCGTACCTCACCGCAAACGGCCACAGAAAATGGGGGGCAGCCGCATGCATCATGGACGTACGAGCGACATCCATGACCATGCCAATGCGGCGCTCAGCAATCCCATTTTGCTGTGGAGAGTCCGGAAGCGTGAAGGTCTGGCGGATCCCCCGTGCACGACAGTAGTCTCGCAGAAGGCGCGAGGAGAACTCTCCGCCTCTGTCCGAGTGCAGACGCAGAACAGGAAAGTCCGAGCCGAAGCTCTTCCTGAGCTGGAGACGAGCCTCGCGGATCCAGTCGATCAGCACCTCAGTGACAGCACCCTTGCTGCGCAAGGGGAGGACTGTGGTGTAACGCGAGTAGTCGTCAACCACCAACAGAAAGTAGCGCTCGTGACCCTGCCCACGGACGGGGGCTGGGCCCCACACGTCCATGTGAAGCGTCTGCAGAGGAGCCTCTGTCGGGGGGAACTGGGAGGAGTGAGGAGCAGCCCGGAGGCGACCCTCGACACAGGGGACACAGGAAGGTCCTGGCCCGGAGGGAAGGGGAGGGAGAGATTGGGGAAGACCAGAGACAAGGACACGGGAAGCCATGCTCCGAAGACGGGGCAAGGAGGGGTGGCCAAGACGGTGGTGCCACAGGAGAGTCTCGTGAGACAGGAGGCGACAAGAGCAGGGGGCAGACTCAGGACCTGACCGGGACGCAGCAGCAAGCACTTGACCTGACGCAGCTACCTGACCAGACGCAGGGACAGGAGGAGACTCAACGGTCAGGGTGTAGAGACTCGACCCCGGCCGACGCGTAAACGTGGCCAGGTGTCGGCCTGTTCGTGCCTCCGTGCAGTGGGTCACCCGCTGACTCGCAGGAGTGAACTGGTGAACCCCCACATCCTGCAGGTCCGCGCCACTCACCAAGTTCGTAGAGAACGAGGGAAGGTACAGACCAGACAGGGTGCCCGAAGGGGCAGCCGGACACGGGAGGACAGTGGAGAAGTGAGAGAGGACAGGACCCCCAGAGGGGTCAGTCAGGGAGACGGCAACCGGCCGGCCAAGCGGCGTAAGGGTGGTGCGGTCTCGAAAGAAGGAGCGAGAAGCCCCAGAGTCAAGTGTGAAAGTAAGGGAGGACGAGGGCGACGCAGTACCTGAGAGCGCAGTCTCACCAGTACCTAAGAGCGCAGACGCACTGGCACCTAGAGCAGCAGCCTCACAAGCACCTAGCGCAACAGTACCAATGTCCGGGTCGGGCTGGAAACACCGGTAACCCTCAGTCTCCTCACTAATAGTCACAGCATACATAGCAGCAAGGATAGCATCAAAATCAAGATCAAAGATCGCTACACCAGCCCTAAGAAGCTCATCCCAGCGAGGGATCTCACTAGCCCCGGGGATTTGCTGACGCCAAGCGTCCGTCAGGCGGCCAAAGCAGCGCTGGGTGGGGTGGGCACCCCCACACTGCTCACCCGCGCGGTCGCCGGAACGAAGGACGTAGGTGCAAGGACCAGTACCCCCACCCCTCTGACGTTGAATGTACCACTCACGAAGCTGCTGAGGCGGAGGGATGTCCCGCGAACGCTGCTGCTGCTACTGCTGCGAGCGCTGGCCACCACCGCCGCCGCTCCGCTGCTGGGTACCACCCCGACCAGCTCCACCCCCTCCACCACCACCGCCTCCTCCGCTGCCTCCTCCGCCGCCTCCACCTCCGCCGCTGCCACCACCACCACTGCTGCCACCACCACCGCCGCCTCCGCCGCTGCTGCCACCACCACCACCACCCCCGCCACTACTCCCGCCGCCACCCCCACTCCCTCCGCCGCCTCTGCCGCCACCGCCACCGCCCCCTCCTGCTCCACCCGCGCCCTTGCCCCCCTTGCCCTTGCCAGAGCGACGTCTCCCACTAGGGGCAGACGCCGCGCCGACCGACTCAAGACCAAGCAGGTCGGCAGCTGCAGCAGAGGCAACAGAGGGCAGCAAGGGGGAAGGAGAGCACCCCTCAAAGATGGGGGTGCGAGGGTCACCACGAGAAGCTCCTACAGCGACAATGCTCTTCTCCGCTGCGAGGAGGGCCTTCTCGAGGACGTCGACGGTGAGGGTGGTGGGATAGACTGCGAGAAAGTGGTCCCTGACTACGCGAAGGGAGTCAGGGAGGCGTGCGACTACGTAGTAGAGAGTGATGTACATGGGGGGGGGGGTTCTTAGCGCAGAACTCAGCAGGAAGGGCGGCGCGGTAGCGAGTGTCACTAGTGCGGAGGTGCGTAATGAGGTCAGCGACAGTGGGAAAGGCAGAGAGGTCAGGAAAGAGGTAGGGAAGCATGAGACGGCTCAGTGCAGCAGTGGCAGGGGAGGAGTAGCGCGCAACTACAGCGTCGTACAAGGTCTGAGCACTCTTGTACTGACTAAAGTGCGCGCGCTCAGAGGTAGGGAGGTGGCGACGCACAGCAAGACGTGCAGCAGCATCGCGGGTGGCCCACTGAGAGCGCACAGTGGGATCAGCATCAGCAGCAGGAGCAGGAGAGGCGCCAGAGGTAAGGTCAAAGAGGGAGAGGCCGTCTGCCCTATCGCACTGTAAAAACAACTGCAGGTCGTCTACCCAGACCTCAAAGTCAATGGCGCGACCCTCAGCGTCAAAAGCTAGGACACTAGGGGTAGCCATGAGGACGACAGCGAAGCAGTGCAAGCAGTAGGGGAAGAGCACGCAGTGACAGTGGGACTGTGCTCACCAGGCAGGGCAGGCCGGGCAACTCTGCAGAAGGGCGGCTCGGCGACTCAGCGACTCGGCTGCTGGGCGGCTCGGCTCCCGGGCGGCTCGGCGGCAGGGCGGCTCTGGTGCAGGGCGGCTCGGCTCCCGGGCGGCTCGGCGGCAGGGCGGCTCGGGTGCAGGGCGGCTCGGTGGTAGGGCGGCTCGGGTGCGGGGCGGCTCGGCTGCACTGCTGCTCGGCTGCTGCAGGGGGGGCGGCTCGGCTGCTACAGGTAGGGTGGCGGGGCCGCGAGACCAGGGGCGGCGGGGCCGAAGTAGCAGGGCCGGCAGGTGCAGCGGCGGGGACGGCGGGGCCGCGGCTGGTGGAGCGGCGGGGCCGGCAGAGAGGGCGGCTGAGCCGCTGCTGAGCAGGCGGCGGGGCCGGCGGCGTAGCAGGCGGCGGGGCCGCGTCGTAGTCGGCGGGTGGGCCACGTCGTAGCGGGCGGCGGGGCCGCGTCAGAGCAGGCGGAGGGGCCGCGTCAGAGGTGGCGGCGGGGCCGCGTCAGATCAGGCAGCGGGGCCGCGTCAGAGGTGGCGGCGGGGCTGCGTAAGAGGTGGCGGCGGGGCCGCGTCAGAGCAGGCGGCTGGGCCGCGTCGTAGCGGGCGGCGGGGCCGCGTTAGAGTAGGCGGCAGGGCCGCGTTAGAGCAGGCGGCAGGGCCGCGTCGAGCAGGTGGCGGGGCCGCTTCGTAGCTGGCGGCGGGGCCGCGATAGGGTGGCGGGGCCGCGACGTGGCTGCGGGGCCGCGATCGGGTGGCGGGGCTGCGATCAGAAGGGGTGGCGGGGCCGCGTCTGAGGGACGGTGGGGCCACGAGGGAAAGGGCGACTCGAGGGGTCGCTAAAAAAAAGGTGCGCGCCTCGGGGCGCGCTTCGGTGGGCCCTAGGCAACGTTCCCACAGGGAACTCGCTCTGATACCATGTGGAAATAAATGACCAGGAATGAAATGACTAAGCCAGTGTTGGGTACAAATACAACCCTAGAAAGCTGTACCCCATATGTGCTACCCCACTATAGCCTACAAACATGCATCAGCTATAATAATCTGACAGTGCTCCGGTCTGTGTCTCCCAGGAGCAACATAGCGTGCAAGAATGCTAAGAGGGTATGCAAGGTCAGGTCGTGTGCAGGTCATCAGGTACATGAGGCAGCCAACAAGCTCTGGGTACGGCCCACTCGACTCTACGAACTCATCCGAAGGCAGAGCTGAGAGCGAGTGGCGAGTAGGCAGAGGAGTGGCCTGAGGCAAGGAGTACGTGAAGTCGAAGCGCAGAAGGACCTGCTGCACCATGTGTGACTGAGTCAAGGTAATGGTGCGGCGTGCTCTGTCCCGGGTGATCTGCAAGCCAAGGTAGCTGCGCAGTTCACCTAGGTCAGTGCACGTGTGTCTCTTCTGCAGCTCGGACTTCACGTGGGCGAGTCCAGCAGTGTCAGCAGTGGCAAAGACCAAGTCGTCGACGTACACGAGGATGTAGAACGGCGGCAAAGAGGTGTCGGTGCGCAGAAACAGCGACGGGTCGGCAGTAGAGGGAGCAAACCCAAGAGCCGCAAGCGTAGTCCTCAGTGTGTCGTGCCACTCACGCGGTGCCTGGCGGAGACCGTAGACTGGCCGTCGGAGGCTCCACTGGGTGCCAGGAGGAAAATTCCCAGTGAAGCCAGGTGGGCGGCGCAGCCACATCTCCTCGTGCAGGCTACCCTGCAAGAAAGCAGTGCTGAAGTCAAGAGAGTGAAGCTCGTAGTCGCGCTGAGCGGCTATGTGCAGCAGCACCCGAAGAGTGGTCATCTTCGGGGTGGGAGAGAAGGTCTGAAAGTAGTCAACTCCCTGCGGCTGACTGAAGCCACGAGCCACGTACCACGCCTTGAAGACAGGTGGAGAACCTGGCGGCCGCTTCACCCTGAAGATCCACATGCCACTGACGATGTTCGCCCCAAGTGGGGGAACCGCGTCAACGTAGGTGCCTGTGGACTTCCAGGAAGCCATCTCTGCATCCATAGCTGCCTGCCACTGAGAAGAGTAGGGACCCTCTACGGCCTCCGCGTAAGAGCGTGGAGTCGGGATGTCAAGTGCATCCGGGTCTCCCTCAGGGGTAAGCAGTACGGACACAAGATGAGGTGAAGCAGCAGCCAGACACTGGAACTCCTCCTGCCTGTCCTCAAGGACGTCCGTGCCAAGGGCACACTCACCCCCGACGGACGGAGGACAGACAGACTCAGACTCAGCGACAAGACTAGCAGCGTAGTCTAGACGACAGTGAGCAGCAAAGTCGACGAGCTCAGCAACTAGGGAAGACGCAGCAGTGGACTCAAAAGAAGGGTCAGTGACGACAGTAGCAAGGAGACGCGTGACAGTAGGACTCGCAGCACGAAGAGAGTCCGACTCCGGGTCGGCAAGAGCAGGAAGAGAAGACTCAGGAGGAGAAGGCAAAGGGGCACGCAGAGGAGCAGTGGACGGACGCAGAGACATCCGGTGCGTGCTAGAAACAGGAGGAGGACGCTGACGCGAACCGCGACCACTAGTGCGAGCAGCACGGACAGGCGACGCAGGGCGAGACGCAGGCTCACGACGCTCAGCAAGACCTCCTGTAGGACCAGTGTAGGGAGACGAAGCAGGCAGTGGGGAGGCCGGCAGTAACTGTAGCTGTGACGGGTCAGGCGGTGGACACTCTAAGGGGGGAGGAGGACTAGTAGAAGGCGGGAGACCAAGAACCTGCTGAAGGAGCGGAACGAAGTACGGCCGAGGCCGCGCGGTGACTCCAGACACAGCAGGGACAGCACCAGCACCCCCAGCGGCAGCACCAGCGCCAAAAGTACCTCCAGCTCCAGTACCTCCAGCAGCACCAGCAGCACCCGCAGCAGGACCACCGCCAGGCTTGACAGCAGTAGCCTCAGCGCCAACACCTTCAGTAGCTCGAGCTCTAGTCGTACCCGTAGGCCCAGCAGCTCCAGCACTCCAAGCACGAGCACCTCCGGGACCGGCGGCACCAGCACCCTCAGCAGCCGAAGAAGCACCAGCACCAGCAGAACGCCTCCAGCGTCGGGCAAACCACTCGCGCAGCTCCTGTGAAGAGAGTGGCTCCCGCCGAGACGAAGCACCCAGAGTACCTCCAGGCCCAGCACCGCCAGACGCCACACAAGCAGGCCTAGCGGCCGCCGGCTCCGCACCCTCAGGCTCAGCAGCTCCAGACGTGGTACCCCCAGGCTCAGCACCCCCAGGCGTAGCACCCCCAAGCTCAGCACCCCCAGGCGTAGCACCCCCAGGCCCAACACCCCCAGTCTCAGCATCCCCAGGCTCAGCACCCCCAGCAGCACCAGAGTCACCAGTAACCTCGACAGGCTCGACTGCGTCTACCTGGGACACACCTGAAGGGGCACGACCCTGAGGGGGGAGGGGGTCTACCGGGGGGGGACCTGGCACAAGGAAGAGCGGTGGCGGGGGGAGGGAAGGAGTGCGGTAGGGGAAGAGGCGGTAGTAGGGGACCGACTCGTCAAACGTGACGTCCTGGGAGGACAGAACACGACGAGAGGTGGGGTGGTAGAACTGCCACCCTGGCGCGTCAGGGGGGAAGCCAAGGAAGACGCAAGGAGCAGCACGAGGGGACAGTTTGTCCGCAGACAAGTCGCGGACAAAAGCCCGAGATCCCCAGACACGGAACGCAAACGCATCGCCTACCTTCCCTGTCCACAGCAAAGCTGGGGAGGTCTCCGGCATGGAGACCCTGGGGTGAAGGTTGATCTGATGCGCCGCGTACCGAACCGCAAACGGCCACAGAAAATGGGGGGCAGCCGCATGCATCATGGACGTACGGGCGACGTCCATGACCATGCCAATGCGGCGCTCAGCAATCCCATTTTGCTGTGGAGAGTCCGGAAGCGTAAAGGTCTGGCGGATGCCTCGCGCACGGCAGTAGGCTCGCAGAAGGCCAGAGGAGAACTCTCCGCCTCGGTCAGAGTGCAGACGCAGAACAGGAAAGTCCGAGCCGAAGCTCCTCCTGAGCTGGAGACGAGCTGCGCGGATCCAGTCGATCAACACCTCAGTGACATCACCCTTGCTGCGCAAGGGGAAGACTGTGGTGTAACGCGAGTAGTCGTCAACCACCAGCAGGAAGTAGCGCTCGTGACCCTGTCCACGGACGCGGGCCGGGCCCCACACGTCCATGTGAAGCGTCTGCAGCGGGGCCTCTGTCGGGGGAAACTGAGAGGAGTGAGGGGCAGCCTGCAGCCGCCCCTCGACACAGGGGACGCAGGTGGGGCCAGGCCCCGGAGGAAGGGGAGGGAGGGACCGGGGAAGACCAGAGACAAGGACACGGGAGGCCATGCCGCGGAGATGAGGCAGGGAGGGGTGACCAAGGCGGTGGTGCCAGAGGAGAGTCTCGTGAGACAGGAGGCGACACGAGCAGGGGGCAGACTCAAGGCCAGACCTGGACGCTGCAGCAAACACCTGACCCGACGCAGCTACCTGACCAGACGCAGGGACAGGAGGAGACTCAGTGGTCAGGGTGTACAGGCTCGACCCCGGCCGACGCGTAAACGTGGCCAGGTGCCGGCCTGTGCGAGCGTCCGAGCAGTGGGTCACCCGCTGACTCGCAGGAGTAAACTGGTGAACCCCCGCATCCTGTAGGTCAGCACCACTCACCAAGTTCATAGAGAACGAGGGGAGGTAAAGACCAGACAAGGTGCCAGAGGGGGCAGCCGGACACGGGAGGACAGTGGAGAAGTGAGAAAGGACAGGACCCCCAGAGGGGTCTGCCAGGGAGACTGCAACCGGCCGACCAAGCGGCGTGAGTGTGGTGCGGTCTTGAAAGAAGCCAGGGAGACTGCAACCGGCCGACCAAGCGGCGTGAGTGTGGTGCTCCCATGCCTCAAGCAAGTGTCGCAGCAGCCCTTGCCTCGGCGCCCTTCCAGCGCAACCACTTCCCACCG